GGTGCAGAACCCCCAGCCCCCAGAGGGTTAATAGCGCCCTACGTCATTGGTCGGCTCGGAGCCTCCCAAGCAGAGGGCCCAACTCCCAGAATGCTCTGGGGGAGCCTTGGCCCACTGCCCCCTCCCCCCAGATAATGGCAGAGCTCGCAGACCCACCCCCAGGGGTGTTCATGGGCACCCCCTCACCTGGGGGGGCTGGGGGCAGGGCTGGTGGTTCAGGGGCCGTCTCGGGGGGTGTCGGCTCTGTCGCCTCGTCCTTGGCAGGTGCTGCCGGGTCTGGCGCCTCCTCCGGCTCCTCCGCCTCTGGAGCGGGACCTGGGGGACAGGACGGCTGGTTGTGGGAGGGCAGGAGGGGGAGACCCAGCAGGCCCAACTGCAGCGCCCAGCACCCGCAGGCCAAGCAGCGCCACCTAGTGCCTCCTGGCAGGCAGCGCAGGGCCACTGGGCTCTGCCTGGGCTCCCACCCCTCCCTCGGGGATGGGGGCGCAGCCCGGGGGACACGCAAACACCCCACTTGCCCACGCTCCCTGGGCTCTCCCACGCTCCAACCTCTCTGCAGGGCCACCCAGACAGAAGCAAATACGACCGCTGGCTTAAAGAAGGGGAGAAACTGAGGCACGGGGGAGGGACTGGCCCAAGGTCCCGCAGCAGGTCAGTGCTGGAGCTGGGAACAGACGCCAGGGCCCTTCCTCCCGGCTGTGGTGAAGAGGCTGATGGAAACTCGTGGCACCAAGGGGTAAGTCTGACAGGCCCACGCTGGGGTCAGGGCCCCCCCAGTGCTGTGGGGCCGGCGTGGGGTGGGGCATGCGCTCACCTAGTGGTTTGGCTTCACACCCCGAGGGCATCTCTTCCTGGGGCACGGCCCCGTCTGGCTGCGTGTGCTTCTGCTGCCCTTGACACGCCAGGCAGGTGGAACCCCCTGCCACGTCGCTGCCATCCGGGGGCAAGGGCCTGGGGGGATGAGCCACATGAGGAGTGTCTGAGAGCCCCTGACCCATCCGGCCGGCCAGAGATGCTGTGCGGACTGGGGGGCTGGGGAGGAGGGATCCTCTCCCCTCCCCAGGCCCCCACAGTGGGGCTGCAGCTAGAACACACCCTAGACCCAAAAACACCCACCCAGTGGTGCCCACGGCCCCTCCCCTGGCACCTGCTGCACTGGGCTCAGCAGCTTATAACAGGGGGGGTGGGGGGGGCTATCCAGCACAGCCAGGCCCAGACCCTCCTGCCCCCCTGCAGGACCCCCATGCAGTTCCAAGGGGACCCCCTTTGCAACTCACTTCTGGCAGCTCTGGCAGCGCCGCGCGGCATCGGTGCCTCCCGCCGCGTTCCGGTGCCGCTGACACCCTTCACACACCGAGTAGTTCTCATACCAGTGGCACCCGGGGTCGAGCGCCGCCGGCCGTGACCCACAGTCAGAGCACACCCGGCAGTTCTGCAGGGAGACAGACAGTCAGGGGGGCAGAGAATGGGACACGGGGCCTTCCCCCTCTAGGGGGCAGTGGATCTGATCTGACCCCAAGGCAGGGGTCAAGGACTGGCTGGCTCAGTGGGGTGGGGAATGGGGCATTTCCCCTCTGGGTGGCACCAGCTCTGACCAAGCCCCAGGGCAGGAGTGGGGGACTGGCTGGCTCAGGGTCAGTGCTGTGCAGGGATTTCCTCCCCTTGGATTATGGGGGAGGTGGGCCTGGGGGTCCTGGTCCCTCCCCCGGGGGCGCTGGCATCAGGTGAAGCAAAGCAGGGCCGGCTCCGTGGGACGAGCTGCCAGGGCCCCGGAGCAGATGCCACCCTGGCAGTTGGCCGGGCCCGGCCTCCCCGGGGCGCCCCCTGCAGGTGATGCAGGTGTGGAGCCCACCTTGCACTTCCAGGAGTCCGTGGGAAGGCTCTCGATGGCCGGCTTCAAGCAGAACGTGTGGTAGCCCTTGTCACAGGCCTCGCACACCAGCATCATGGAGTCCGCGCCGGGCTGTCTGCAGGGAAGACGCTGCTGTCAGACAAGCCCCGGGCCCCTCACAGACTGAGCGCCGCCCCGGCCTCCCCACAGCTCTCTGGAGAGAGCAACGCTGAGGATAGAACCCAGGAGTCCGGACTCCCAGCCCCCCGCCTCTAACCCACTAGACTCCCCTCCCCGAGCTGGGCATAGAACCCAGGAGTCCTGGCTCCCAGGCCCTCTCCTTGCTGTAACCCACTATACCCCACTCCTCTCAAAGAGCTGGGGATAGAACCCAGGAGTCCTGGCTCCCAGCCCCCCCTCCCCAGACCAGGAAGGCTGGTGCGGGTCACACAGGGCCCGTGCCCGGGGTTTTGCCACCTACCTGCATGTTTGGCAGACTTTGCACTCGGGACACTGCCAGCCAGAGCGCTTGCGCGGCGTGACGGGGACGTCCAGGCAGGTGCCGTGGTAGTGCAGCCCGCAGCTGGTGCAGAAGAGCAGGTCGCGCAGGTCCCCCGGCCCATCGCAAACCATGCATCGCGAGTCCTCTGGGCGTGGGGGGCAGGGAGTTAGGGAAACAAACCCTCCTGCACCCGCACTGCCCGGGATGCCCAGCCTCTCCCTCTCCCCTCAAAGCCCTGTGCCATAGGGCGTCCCCCTGGCTAGCAACACACCCTCCCCCTCAAGGATCTCACAGCACCTCACCGACATCCATCACAGCAGTGACAGATCCAGGAAGAGAACCCAGGAGACCTGGCTCCCAGCCCCTTCCCACCCACTCTAACCACTAGACCCAATTCCCCTATCTGAGTCCTGGCTCCCAGCCCCCTGCTCTTACCACTCGCCCCCACTCCCCTCCCAGAGCTGGGATAGAACCCAGGAGTCCTGGCTCCCAGGCCCCTGCTCTAACCACTAGACCCCACTCCCCCAGCTCCTTAAGGCTCCCATTATCCCCTCCAAAACTCCACCAACCCAGTGGCAGAGGTGCCCCCAAGCAGCCCCTGTCCCTGCCCTTCTTCACGGGGCGGCACCTACCCATCTGCACTGCCTCGGTCACGTGCTCCGGGCACAGGAGCCAGAGGGTTTTCATGGACTGGAAGGAGCCGCTGGCCGCCGCGCACGGGAAGTGGTAGTGCCGCGGACACCCCTCCGAGTGGCACTGAATGGTAGCACCCATCCTCTGACAGTGTTCACATTTCTGAAAGCAGCAGGGACCCCAGCCCGGGTCAGAGATGCGGATGGATGGACGCTGCCACAGCTTGGCTCCGCCAGGGCGATCCCCAAGAGCCCACCAGCCCCCACATGCGGCCACCTCTGGGGTGAGGTGCGGCAGCTGCTTAGCAGCTATGAAGCAACATGAGGCAAGGATCCCTCATCTGGGGCTGAGATGCAGCCACCTCTGGGGTGGGACATGGCAGCTGCTCGCACAGTGATCGCTCACGCAGCACAGATACGCAGACACCCCCTGAGGGGAGCAGGGCAGCTGATTAACAGCCTGGCAGTTTAGGACAGGAAGTGAAGGAGAAGCCCTTATCCGGGCGCAGCCTGTGGGTGGGAAATCAGGGACGTAAATGCAAACACCCCTTTGGTGTTTGCCCAGGAGGCCAGGGTTTGTGCTGAGAGGCCCAGGGGCAGGGCCTCATTTTTCCACCTCTTATGGGGGACAGTACCTGTGGCAGCATCGGGACCCCAGCGCTGGCAGAGGGGAATGTCCCGTCCCCTCACCCCGTCCCTTCCTCAGAGGTCTCCCCTCCCGGGGGGGTCACTGGCTCCACTCTGATTAGCCAGACACCCCACATGAGCGCAGCCCAAGGGGTCGCCTACCCCCCCACGGCCACCCCAATGCCGGGGGCCCGCAGGCCCTCCTTCCCCTTCCCATTTGCTCGCCCCCACCCCCTCACCTGCGAGATCCCTGAGAAAACAGCTTTGTCCACGTTGCTCAGCCCAGCTCCGGCCTGCCGCTGCACCCCCGCCGACCAGGCAGCGCACCAGTGGTGGGCCCAGCAGTGCCCTGCGAGGGGAGGCAAGGTGTTAAGGGGGGCGGGGTCAGGGTAGGAGCCCCCCGCTATCCTTCTCCAGAACTCTGCCAGTGGGTGGGGAGCCCTCCACAGAGACATCTCGGGACCCCACGGAGGGGGCACAAAGTGCCTGAAAAGGAAGGAGACGCCCGAGCTCCACAGCAGCCTTTGCGCTTGTGTCCCTGGGCGGGGGGGCACTGGCAGAACGAGGGGGTGTGAGAGGCTAGGGCTGGGGTGGCAGGGGGCACCAGTACAGCTGGGGGTGGGAAGCCTAGGGCTGGGGCAGCAGGGGTAGCAGTGGCACCAGCAGGCCTCGCGGAAGGAAGACGCTCGCCCCATGCTGCTTACCCGTTGGCTCGAAGAGCTCTCCTGGCGACACCCCCTCCGCGAAGCCGATCAGGGACAGGTCGCCCCCAGGGGCCAGAGTCTCGCCAGGGCCCCTCCCGGCCGGCAGCCCGGAGAGACGCTCAGTCCAGTCGGGCGCCGGCTCGAAACGCTGGAGCTTCCCCTGCCCATGCAGGCGCCACTCGCCGCAGTTGCAGAGGGCGCAACGCCTGGGCAGGGCGCTGGGGCGGAGACGAGAGCAGAGTCAGTGGGGGCAGGGTGGGGGGCCCCCAGAAACACACTCCCCTCCCCCCCTCCAGTCACGACCCCTCCAATGTCCTCCTGCACTCATGTCTCCTTCCCGTCCCTGGGGGGCAGAGGGCATCCCAGCATCCCCCTGGGCTTTTGGGTCCCAGCACCGATCGGGCAGCTCCATTTGGCTTCCCTACAAGACAGGGGATCGGGGGCCTGAGCTCCAGGCTGGGCCCCTCTGGGGCATCATTCAGGTGGGAGGGACCCACTCCCCTTGTCTGCTCCCTGCCCTAAATCACAGCACCCAACTCCTGGCTCTGCTCCCCTTTCCCCCCCCCCCCACCCAGTGTCGCAGGTGTCCCATCCCCCAACACTCACCTGCAGGCCTGGGGCGGCTCCTTGGCTTCCGGCTCCTGGGCAGTGGGGGCCCCTTCCGGCGGCTTCAGGGGGTCTCCTTCCGTGCCACCCCGCTCTTCCGAAAACGCACCCCCGTCGGCTGCAACAGGGGAGCTGCCCCGTCAGGATCCCAGCAGCAGAGGTGCCCCCACACTGTTACACCAATCTCCCCCCCCCACCACCCCTGACACCCCCACAGGCACAGCCCCTGCCACGGCTCAGCACGGCCCTTCTACTTTCAGGGCACCGAGTGCATCCCCCTCACCCAGCAGAGGCCGTCCCACTGGGGGATCCCTCTGCTCCGGGCGGCTGCATGTCGGCCCCACCTTAGCCCGGGCAGCTCCCCGGGATGCACCACGGGGCCCTAAGAGGACAGTGCAACGCCTAGTGAACCACCTGCCTCACCAGTCACATCCCCAGCATGGCATGGATCATTCAGCCATCGGCCCCCTCCAGGCCCTTCGCCCACAGCTCACCGCTGCTCCCTGGTTACTGGGCTGGGCCAGTTTCAGACCCATTGCTCTGATGGGGAAACTGAGGCACTAGCCCAAGATCAAACAATACAGCTGGGGATAGAACCCAGGAGTCCTGGCTCCCAGCCCCCCAGCTCTAACCTCTCAACCCCACTCTTTAGGGGAAGGAGTTTCAAGTAAGCGGGGGACACATAGGAGCTGGCAATTCCCATGTAACAATGCCCCAAAACTCCAGGTAAAATGTGGCCAATTTGGCTGTTTCTGTGGGATGGAGAATGGGGACGTGCGGCCCCATCTCACCAGGCACGGGCCATACCCCTGTGCCGTGCCACACTGCAGCCCTTGGCAACGGCTCAGGGTAGCCTCCGGCCTCCAGGCCAGGCAGCTCCGGCAGTGCTGCAATGGGTGCCCCCAGCAATGCCCCATCTGGCTCCACCCCCCTGCCCCGGACTCACCTGGCACCTCACAGTCTTTGGCCTGGCTGGGCGGTTTCCGATCATCCATCCCGTCTCCTGCCGTCCCTCCCAGAGAGACCTGCGGCGGGGAGGAGGGGACACGTCAGCTCATTAAGACCGGCCATGCCCTCGCCCCCCGTGCCCTTCATCCGCCCCCAGCCCTCCTCCCATTGGCACGCCAGACCCTCGGCCGCTGGCACAGACCCCGCACCGCGAGACCGAGCCGCTCGCCTCTGGGTCACCTGTCCCAGGCCTGAGGAGCGGCCGCAGGCGTCGCTCCCACCAGACGGCCGCTCAAGTGGGGTAGGTCTCGGCCAGCTCCCTGCAGGCAAGGGCCCATGTCACAGAAACCAGCCCCACAGCCCCAGCAGGCCAGGAACCTCTCTAGCCAACCCCTCTCCCTGCCCCCACCCCACACGGGTCAGCTCCCAACCACCTGCAAACCCCAAGGCCTGTCTGGGGCAGTGCCAGCCCCACAGGCCTGGAGTCTGCAGTTCTCTGCTTAGCTAGAGTGGGTGCAGCCAGGGCAGTGACACGACAGGCTTCCCTGCCACAAACACGGTCCCGACCCCTTCACTCGCCTGCCGAGAGCCAGCGGGGCTGTCCCCCGCCTGGGCATCGTCAGCGCCAGACAATGCCCAGAGACACCCCCACATGTGCATGGAGTCCTGGCAAACGGGTGGTGCCCACTGGGCTCATCACATAATCCCCCCCAATCAGAACCAGCCCTGTGCATCAGCAGCCGGGACACGGAGAGGAAGCTCCTCTCCCACCCCAGGGTGGCTCTGCAGGGCCAGGCTGGCGGGGCAGCTGGAGGCAGGACTCCGTCACCAGGGCCATCAGACAGGCACCTGCCGGCACCACAAGAACGACTAGCGTGCGCCCCACGGCGGGTCCGTTCTGGGGAGGTCTGGCCAAATCCCAGGCTTGTGCTAAAGTAAGCAGGACCAGAGAAACTGTGTGTGTGTGTGGGGGGGGGGGGAATCCCAGCATGCTTTGCTCCGAGCACACATTTCACAGGACCCGTGTGTCAGCCGGACACGCCTCCCACACTCCGAACCCCTGCCTGGTCCCACAACCCCAGCTGCCCGCCTCTCCTACAACGCTACCCAAGGACAAACGGAACCAGGCCAGCTGCGGCCAGCACCCAGGTGCAACATGGGAGATGTAGTTCTACCGGCTGGCCACGGCCGTGGGCCCAGGAACAGGAAGGGGTTGGCGCAGCGTATCTGGGGCAGGGTGTTCGCAGGCAAGGCCTGTGGCATCTGCATGGACTGACCTCAATTAGAGCCACCGCAGGTGGTAGCCGCCAGCTTCCTTCCTAGCACAGCCCGCAGGAGTGGGCACCCCCAGACGCCAGCTGGCTCATGGGTTCGGGGGGCCAGGCCTCGCTGAGAAGCAGCTGGCCCAGTGGGGGCACCAGGCGATGCCACCTTACCCACCACGCTGCAGTCCAAAGCTAGAGTGAAAACAAGGGCGTGCGGACGCGCTCAGGGCTCCGTCCCCTGCCACTGTGATCTTGGACAAGCTGCCGCCTCTCCGTGACTCAGTTTCCCCATCAGCGTCAGAGGCGGATGCTGCCCTCCCCAGCCCAGTCCTTAACGAGCGCATCAGGCCAGAGGGCAGTGTTTGTTTGACCTTCCCCTGGGTGCATAGACTCTCCTAAGCGCAATGGGATTGTTCCCTGCGAGCAGCCAGGGTTCGAAGTGTCACCTGAAGACGGAGCTTCCTGGGGCAAAGTCCCCCGGGGACAATGGTGGAAGGGGAAGAGCACGCCCCCAAAAACATCCCAAGGTGCTCTGCACCAGTCTCCCGTCCAGGCAGTGATCAGCCCTGACCCTGCCTAGCTTCAGAGATCCACTCAGTCCTCAGCTGGGGCTGGCTGCATGGACAGTTCACCTGGGGGGAGACATCACCTCCCCCAGGCCCTGGAACAGCTGGCCCCAGGCACTGTCAGAGATGGAGCACTGGGCTAGACGGCTCCAATCTGCTGGAGCCTGAGGGATGTTCTGTGCCACCTCCCCAGCCGAGCTTCCTTGGGAGGCAAGGCACCTGCTGGTGGAGTGGGCCACGAGCCCTCTGACCACCCACCCCCGGCCTTTGCCCCCGGAGTCCTGGAAAGCCAAGTGCAGCTTTACCCAACCCACGCCAGGCATCGCCAGCCATGAGGGCAGGAGAGGATGAGAACTAGGTCAAAGTATGGGGCTGGAGGGCCAGAGACAGCAGCTCCCATGTTAGCACGCTCCAGCCGCCATGTCTGCGTCTGGTGGGAAGTAGCATGGCCTAGTGTTCAGAGTAGGAGATCTGTCTGGGAGTGGGGGCTGGTGAGTTAGAGCAGGGGAGAGGTGGGAGCCAGGACTCCTGGGTTCTCCCCCCAGCTCTGGAAGGGGAGTGGGGTCTGGTAGGTTAGAGCAGGAGAGGGGTGGGAGCCAGGACTCCTGGGTTCTCTCCCCGGCTATGGGAGGGGGCTGGGAGCTGGAACACCTGGATTCCGTTTTGACTCCCATTGTGATCTTGGGCCAGTCACTTCTCAGCACCTCAGTCTCCTCCTACTGCAGAAAGTGGGTAGATGGGGCACAACCTGGCGAGCTGCCAAGCCACTCCACTCCCCACTGACCCCAGCAGGACCCAAGGGGCACGCAGCTCCCCAGGGCCAAGCCAGGCATTCACTGGTTGCTTTGAGGTCCCCTAAAAGAAAGTCACTGGAGAAAAGGCCAGGTGGGATGGAACTGATGGCACCAGAGGCGGGACAAGCACGAGGGAGCCTTGTTCCAGACTGGCAGGGCCTGGGTACGCCCCTGCCAGCATCACCAACCTCTCGCTGGTGCTACCAGGGTCAGCAACGGACCTTCCCGGAAAACCTGGGCTGAGAACGAGACCTCCCACCGCCACGGGGGGGCAGGGAGAAAATGGACTGAACCATTGCTGGCCGTTTCTCTGTCGGATGCAAAAGACCTCGAGGTCTCAGTGAGCAAAATCAGTGCACACGAGCACCTTGGGCCCTAATCCCACAATCGGATCCCTGTGGGCAGATCTCTGCATCCACAGCGGCTCGGCAGGGGGGCAAAGGTTCAGCCCTCATGGAGCCAATTGCAGAAGCAGGGCCATAGAGACAAACCCCCACTGAATCCTGGACTGAAGGGCCAAAAACCCAAACCCACCCTCAAGGTTCCCAGAGACGTTTTCCTTCCCGAGCTGCAGAATTTGCCACAACAATCAAGTTCTGGATTAAGAAGCAATTTGGGCAGCTCCAACCTGGCGCCAAAACTGAAACGTCTTTAAGGGATTGTGTCGGGGGCAGATTTCCTGTGACCCCCTCACAGAGCATCACCCCCCCATTCTAGTGCATGCTCCAAAGGCCAGGGCAGGGGGCCGTAATTTCATTGCTCCACTGAGCCTCACCCCAAGGGGCTTTTGTGTTTTGTTTTTAATTAGGTCCTGCAACACCCCACCCTAAAAAGACCAAATCAGAGATGGGACCCCGGACCCCCTCGCAACACAGAAAAATGGCTCATGGGAGATGCACAGCCACACAACCACACAGGGAGTGGGGCTGAGAGCGCGGTGAAGGCCCTGGATGGAGCCAGGACGCCTGTGTCCTACGGGGGGAGTGTTGTCAAGTGGTTGGAGCAAGGGCCTGGGCTTCTGGTCAGCAAAAAAGAGACACGAGGCGCCCCCCGAAAGAACTGGGTTTAGGTGGATTGTGACAGCAGGGACACAAAACACTGACCAGACCCGACACAGGATCCCTTCCCTCTGACCCCCCCGCTCTGCCGGCATAAACGTGGAGTAACAATGCCAGCGGAGCGGCTCCCGTTTTACACCAGCGCGATGCAGCTCAGAACCTGGCCTGCAGCAGTTCTAACCTGGCATTAATTTAAGCAGCACATGGTGTCCCTTTATATTGATTGATCGATTGATGGGGGGGGCCCGGGGGGCTGCCTTTGAGCCCGGACTCTGGAGGTGAAATATGCAGCGAGCCCGGCCTTATTCAGCAGAATGCACGGCCCGGCTCCAGCCCTGGCACTGCAGCCCTTGGGACTCCCGGCCATTGCGTCGGTTTATAGGGGGGCAGACCCAGCATTACTCCCACTGCGTGCCCTCCCCAGTATCCTCTCTTCCCCATGCGACAGGAGAGGCAGCGGGAGGCGACGGAGGCTGGAGGTGGCACCCACGGGGAACAGCACATACAGGGAGAGCAACAGGTGCAGCCCGGCCTGTCCTGAGACCACAGACAGAGAAAGTGTTTGTGGATTTGCTGGGGAAGAGGGCCCCCCCCAACACACACACACACACTCTCTCATCCACCACACCGGGGAAGCTCAGACAGGAGCCGGATTTAACTGGGGGGACAGGCGCAGAATCTGGGCCCCACGGTCTTTGACGCCAGTGATGGGGGAGGGGTGGGAACTGCCTACCCAGGGCTGTGGGTCCTGTTCCCCTGAAGCTCAGGGATCAAAGAGAGAAGCTGCTGGGGAACAAAAGCCTGGGAAGCCCCATTGCTGCCTGGGAAAGGGGGGAGAACTAAGCAAGAGCTCGGCCCCCCCCACCCCAATCCCACCACTTTCTGTTTGAGCAAATCTCCTCGGGCTCCCTGCTAATCCTCTGGAGATTACACTCAGCCCAGGAGAGCCCAAGGCCGCCTAGGCCGCACCGAGGGTCACTCTGTTCCTGGGGGGAACCACCCCCCAGTGTCCACTTCCTAGGAAAGGGCAGGGTGAGGAATTTAGGGGGCAGCCACTGGAGGAGGGGGGGAGCCCCGTTCCCTCACCCCCGGTATGTTTACAGGAAGCAGGGGGGAGAACACAGCCAACCACCTCGAAAAGGCAGGAGGGAAGGGGAAGGGAGTGAGCAGAGTCAGCCCCCCCCCATAATACCCCCCTGCACCCCCCCCCTTCGGGACAGGGGTCAGCCCCTCTTCCCAGGCTCCGACTGCAGCAGAATGTGGGGGCGCTACAGAGAGACCTGCCCCATGGAGAGAAAGCTCAGCCGAGGCCTAGGATCAGGATTTATACATAACAAAAGCTCCCCCCCCGGGCCCCCCTGCAAAAAACAGACTCACCCCCCCATGCCC